TCCCCAAAACCCCAAAACCCCAAAACCCCTTTGCTAAGAGAAGATATTGAACTATCTTGGGAAAACAAACCCTTTACTCCTGTTAATGGCTCTTGTGCTGTAGGGAGTCGCAGAGGAATAGAGTAACTCTTTCCTCTTCTTGTTCATCTCTTCGAACTGTATGTTAAAGTAGTTCTCAGGTCTCTTGGTTTCTGGGACCTTGAACTTGATATCTTCAAGCTGTTCTTTGCCTTCTTCTACAGGAGGGTCTTCTGGAATCTCCATGTTTCGAGATCAAGTCAAGAATCAATGGCCAAATCTATCTGGAAGTATTCCTTTGCAGTCTTTTTCAAATTCACCTTTGGAGATGAGGAACATATCTACCTCTTCATTAAGACAAGAGAGGAGCGAAGCTCCTACCCATGCCAAAATGTTGGCTGGATATATAGAGTTTTCTACTCTGAATTTGTCCTTAAGACCGATGAGGCCCTTATACTTGTCAATATTTTCGACAGAATATTGTAACTCTCCTAAAAGTCTCCTGTGCATTCCTGGAATCATGAACAAACCGCCACTAGGAATGATGTTTTGAGCAGCCAGAGTCCTATCGGATTCTTCAAGTTCAAGAAGGCAATCAAGGACCATGTGAGCAATGTTGATGTACTGATCTGTGCCACCTTGGTCGAAAAAGCATTCCATTGTTCCGGCAATGGTGTGATAGGACATTGATAAAGCTTCATATCTACGGCTCATTTCTGAGAGAGGGTACTTCTTCTGCTTCATTTTCTCAATACTTTCTTCTGTAGCAAAGAAGGCATCAAATTGCTTCCTGCTCAAAGTCTTCAGAACCTTGCAGATAACGTCTTTAATTAAGGTATTTGTGATGTATTTCTCATTACCAGGGTTCTCTAGCTTCATTTGGGCTTTTAGGTCTTGCTCAAGAGCAGCACCACCGAAGTAGGAATGCTTCTTCCCCTTGATTGTGAATATGGTCTGAACCACAGGAGTTACTGAGGTATGAAGAAATCCTCAGTCAACCATTATCCCAGAGTCCAACCCTGTTGTGTATAGTGGTAAGAGGTCTGCCAGGAAAAAGTAGACTTTACTAAATTCAAATTCAAGGTAAAGCACCTCTGCAAGTGACTGCATGAATGATCTTGGGAAGATCAGCTGTTCAAGGATACATATCTTGCTACCTTTAGTCTTGAGTAAACAATGGATGATGAATACTTCATACAAAAATTCATGGATTTCATGCTTGACTTTCTTACTCTCTTTCATAATATCCACTAGAGTTAGTGGGCCTATCTCATCCTTTAATCTGATGATAGAGCTGATACTCAGAGGAGTTTTCAGGATCTGTCTGGGCGTAGAGTCTTTAGAAAGGCCAACCTTGGTATAGTCAATACCAATATCGAGGATTACCATCTGTTCCTCCATATCGATTCCAGTTGAAGCTCCCAAATCCATTTTGTCAAAATTATTATGGAATTAATTCAATTAATTAATTTTTGACTGGGGTTTTGGGGTTTTGGGGTTTTGGGGTTTTGGGG